CCAAAGAATACTCCTTAAATAGTCTTGGGGATTCAGATTGTTGTGTGGAAGGGATACTCCGGAATCGGGGCCTCTTGAAAGATCTGGGAAGTGTTGGTGTCTTCGAGACAAAAACAACTTCTCTCCGAGTCTAGTTTCAAGAGCAAACTTGATGTGTTCTAGGCAAGCCCAAGGACAAAGGGTTCAGGGTCTAGTGCTTTTCCGCTAGGGTTCGGGGCTTTTCCGTTCGGGTTTAGGGAAGGGTTTAGGGTTCCTTCGGCTGAATGTCCGCCGTTTTCGGGCGGCTGCTGTTAGCGAGGAATCCGACATTTAGTGGCAACTCGGCACCCACATTCCGGACTGCCCGCCTTACTGTCGGCGTTTCGGAGAACTCCCTCGTCGTCAACTAGAACCTTCGTGGCGCAGGCTCGTCGGTATTTGATGTGGACTGGATGGAACGGCAGGATCTTTCCTTGCAAGATCTTTCCTTGAAGACACTTCGAGTGCGGAGAGTTAGCACTGGCTCGGGGAACCCCCTCAGCCCAGCTCCAAGAGATCTGGACTCGGAATTCAATCTCTGACCTTCGCCTTACCCCTAAAAATAGTATAGGTGATTATTTCGGCGCTTATATACTTGTGCCCTTATAGATCCCATTATTCTAGTACCCTTATAGATCCCTTATCGATCCTTTATAGTAACCCTTATAGACCCCCTTTAAAGGAACCCAATCCAGGCGGCCCGAGGGCCCGGCGAGCGGCATCCACTCGTGGTCCCACCTCAGGTCGAAGATCTCGAGTTGATGGTATATTTAAGTACATTATAGTGCATTATGGTGTATTATGTTATATTATATTGTATTATAGTATATTATATTATATTATATTATGTTATATTATATATTGTTTTGATGAGCTCCCGGGTCTAGAAAGATCTGGCTCCAGTGCTGAAGTATACCGGTAAGGTTGTACTATATGCTCAGATTCAGACGCCTTGCTTCCGCATGGACCAAAAAAACTCACTGGGCTGGTGACCTCATCACTACTGCGGGATTGTCGCGCTGTGCCATATGCAGCCATCCCGCCTACGTTCCATATACACCCACGAAGCACCAAATTGCAGTCAAACCGCTGTGACACATCTCGCTGGTCGAATCCTCCAGCCGCGGTCAGTTGATCGTGGCTCGTGTTTAAGCATGAGTGCTAAACATCAGTTCTGGAGCTGGCTGTTCTGGCAGCCACCGTCGAACATGCAGTAGCTAGCCAGGGCAAGGAGGTTTCCCTCTGCGTTCTCCAAGTCGTTGGGATTGCGGTTGGATGTCCATCTCGAACAGAATACAGCCCTTCTTCCTAGCCCTCCGTGCAAGACAAGATCTCCTCTCCTTCTGCCGGCTGCAACTTTCCAAGAGGATCCGGAGCTTCTTCGGAAGAATATCTCGGACCCCGAAGCCCGAGAGCCTGCATCGCTCACAAGGACCCCATGCTGCCTTCGTTGCTGACGATGCCGTCAATTCGACCCTGCCAGTGGGTAGTCTGGGGTGTAACAAAACTTAGAGATGTTTCTGGCCGCAGGAGTATGAGTAAGGGTTCCGGGCCGAATTTAAGGGTGTTGCGGCGAATCCCCAAGTTGTGCACACATACCGGGACTAGTTTGCTCATAGGCTGGACTCTTCTGAATGGCAGAGTATGGCAGAGTTATAAAACGATCTGGAGTCGATGATCAATCCTGAACGCGATGCCTCTTTGTACAAAGACAAACCGATCTTGTCGACCACTGCCCGGATGCGCCAGAAGAGCTGCAGGACCTACAGCTCATTTAGGGTTGAGGGTTTGGTCTCGCATCTTGCAGAGATTCTAAGCCATTGGTACGTGTCTACAGAGGATGTGCTTCAAGCTTCTGCGGGTGGGCAGCCTCCAATCTAAGCATCTCCATGCGGCGATGTGGCTTCTCAGAACTAGGTCCCGTTTCGATGCTCCTGAAAACAGGAGGTATTCAGCATTCTGCATAAAACTCTTAGTGAAAGGAAGAGGCCAAAACTCCCATCATTTTCAAACCTTCTTAGAACCTGGAAAGATATGCGGCCCTGTCGAATGGAGCGGCATGCAATCTGTATCCGTACCCATGCAACTAAGAGTAGTGCTACTACCAACAGTACTAGTGCGAGTGTCGTCGTAGCAGTACTAGTAGTAGTAGTAGTAGTAGTAGTAGTAGTAGTAGTAGTAGTAGTAGTAGTAGTAGTAGTAGTAGTAGTAGTAGTAGTAATAGTAGTAGTAGTAGGAGTAGTAGTAGGAGTAGTAGTAGTAGTAGCAGTAGTAGCAGTAGTAGCAGTAGTAGTAGTAGCAGCAGCAAGAGTTTAGTAGCAGTGAAACCAGTGGTAATGGTCGTAGCGGTGCTGGTAAACATGATCAGAATCAGGGCAATCACGGTTCTTTGGGTACGCTCCGGACCTTGGGGCAGGAAGACATGCTCCGAAAGCAAGACTTGCTACTCGCGGGTGGGTTTATTGGAAGCAACAGCTCACAGACAACAAGAGATCCCGTGCCGTCACCCCTTCAGCTGCAAAGTGTTTTGCCCGAGCGCATAGAAAAGGTATTCGCGAAACGGTTCAGGGCGTTCGGTAGGCGTGCCTGCAACTTTGCCTTGTACCATACCTCGATGAATGAGACCAAGCCACGGCAAGAAAAGGGGCCTGCAACTAGATGCTGACTGCAACCCAAACATGACGGAAGTTCAGCGTTCTGGCAAATGCGTGTCCCGGTTCCAAGAAGATTTCCCCGAAAGAGTTACCAAAGTACAGTGAGGCCATCCTCTGGGCAGACCCTCTAAGTCTCCACATACTCTTCGGCGGCACGCCTTCCGGAAAAGAAGAAAAATGCCAGTGTCAACGGGAACATCGAGCTTCTCTCGTCTTGTTTTCTCGCCTAACCAAGCTCTTGTGGCATAATTTGGGCAGGAGTCTCCGCACGCCATTCCCAAGTTCGCGTTGACACAGTAAGCGAAGACCATTCAAGCTGCATGCTTGTCGGGGGTGAGCCCCCTGCCTATACATTTCTGAACCACCGAACCACCATGGACTGCCCTTACGGTCGGTACATGTGCTAGGGGCTGAATGCGAAAGCAACCCAGCCGAAATACGCCACCCTCTCAGCTAACTCAAAAGGAACCATGGCCCGCTTGAATATGATGGCGGGAAGAAGCAGAAGCCTTCTGAACCAGCGGTGTCTTGCTGTCGCTGTCCCAGACTCGTGTCCGCTCACTGGTGCCTCACTTGCCTTTCTCGAGGTACTTCTCCTTGGCTTATCGTATCGTTTAAGTTTCTTGATAGAACTTATGAAAATATGTCATCTTTTTGTAAAAACGTAAGACTGCCACGGTACAAACCCATCTCTCAAACTCCTGAAGCTCCAAGTGAGACGGTAAGCAAATGTCAGGCTATCATGGGAACAAGGTCAAAAACGTTGAAGCAGAGTGGCCAAAGCTCAGACTAGACCTTCGGTTTGCATCCCACCATGTCACAACAAAGATGAGGTGATGTAGGGGCCTTAATAATTAGAACAGGGTTTTGGGGGGCTCCTTATTATAATTGTGGTAAAATGTAACCCCCAACCTATTCATTAAGGCGCCTACAGTATACGTCGCGAGCTCCTGCATCTGGCTCCTGACCCGGCAAACTTCGAACTTCCTGGGCCCTCCCCTCTGCTCCCTGCATCTTCCAGGCCACCGAAACAAGCCGGGGCCCGAGCAATGAGACCACTGCCACCACCGGACGCCACCACTTCTGCTAGCACTGCCACTACGCCGACGACGACATTGACGACTACTACGTACTACTCGTGCTGGTACTTCTTGCTGTCGGACCCTGCCTCCAACTAAGCCGAACCCTGCAGGGACTGAAACCTGAAAACAGCTTCAAACCCGACGCCCTAAACCTCTATAGGCATTCTAAACCCTTTTCAGCCGTCAAGCCAAAAGCCGGCTATACCCCAAACCTCATGGAACCCCTAACTAAGCCCGAAACCCTAAGGCTCCATGTGCCCACAGAGTCTGGACTTAGGCCCGAAACTACTATTTAGGGACCCCTTTAAGGCTTAAGTGTATACCACATGGGCGCATGGGGCCTTAGGGAAACTCTTATGGGGAACTAAAGGTTATATAGGGATTATCTGTATAGGGACAATACTACCCAAAAAAGTAAAGGTCACCTAGTCGACGACTAGGTACATTATTCTAGTACCCTTATAGATCCCTTATCGATCCTTTATAGTAATCCTTATAGACCCGTTTAAAGGAACCCTAAACCCGAATCCAGGCCCAAGGCGCCACCTGATTGCAAAGCTCATAGAAGCGAGGCCTCCTCTTGTTGGGGAAAGGGAACTTCGGCCCTGAGCAAGGGAGGGCGATGGAGGCTTCATTAAGGGTTTTTGAATTCCTTTTTATGTCTGCCCAACCATCTGAGCTACATTAAGGGTTCAGGGTTTAAGGCATTTAAGTTTAAGGTCTTGGGGGTTTGGGGTTATGGATTTGGGGTTTAAGTTTAAGGTGTGGGTATAGTAGAGTAGGGTTTGGGATTTGGGTGTAGGGTCAGGGGTTTCCATTGCAAGGGCTACTATAAAGGCTGCTAGCCATGATGGCCCCGATAGTACAGCTACTAGAATTAGGAGGCTCTATGGTTCCCTGCAAAGGTACTTCGTGGGTTTCGGACTTCGGGTCTGCTTTAGGCTCTGGGTCTGCGGGGCTTTGGGATTCGGATGCTTTCAGGCCCGCACTCGGACAGTCCAGGCAGAGCTTGTGATGTCACATAAGGGCCTTAGTAAGTAGAATAGGGTTCTGGGGTGTAATATAATACAGCTAGAATCAAGTTCAACAAAATTATGTTGGTGATTCTTCCGACCCCTGTCTTAACTGCGACGACAGCGAAGCCAGGAGCTCATAGCACCTTGCATCACGCACTCTCAAAGGATCACGATCACGACCTGCCTCATAACTAGGTTTGGAACCAACCAAAAAGTTTTGTGTTCATTGTTTAGGGTAGGTTTCGAAGTTTGGGGATACAAGCCCAAGCACTAGTCCGTTGCGAGCACCTCACAAAAGCAGCCGACAACTGCAGTATCTTCGCAGAAAAGGAAAGGGCAACCATTGGAAAACTGGCGGCCAAGTCACCGTAGGAAGTGAAGTGACTCGCTAGCGTGTTGATCGCAGAGTACAGGGAGTAGTAGCTCTGCCTGGCCAGTAGCTAAAGCTAGGCCCGCGCAGGAAACACGCAAATTTGAAGAAACCGTACCCAGGCCTTCCGACGGACAGGTTTTGGCGACGGTAGAGGGCCAGCCAGTCGTTCATCTCCTTCTTGACCCGGCTGTTCCACTTCTCCTCAGTGCCAAGCGCAGGCACAGATGGACTCCCCACGCTTTCGGGCGGCTTGGTGCAAACGGACCAGGATTCGGCGTAACGGCTAAAAATATTGCGGCTCCCCATGAAGCACGAGCGTCCATGTTGGGGGTGCCCTTGTCCAACGAAGCCGAGATCTTCATGTGCTTCATGACCTCCAAGATGCTGGCACAGCTGCGTGGCAATAAATTTATTCGTTCACTGCGACTGAGATTCCCAAGATTCAGGAGCAGGTGCAGGCACAAGGCTGGAGGTTCCGCCCCCCCAAACCGAGCGACCGAACGACCACACCACAACTGCAATGAAACAGTGCTCTCTCATTTCAAGCTCTCCGTGCGCGTGTTTTTTTGTTCTCGCCCTGCTTGCTCTCTTTGCTTGATCGTCTTCTTGCGATTTAGGGCCCAAGGGGCGATGCAAGGTTCCCAAGCGCCAGAGGCGTTGTCTTGTGGTAGAGAGCTCGATATGACGAGCGGACACACGTGAACATGGCTCGCACCCTCAAGCGACGTCATTTACTCTCCTCATCTCTTTCTCTCTCTCTCTCTCTCTCTCTCTCTCTCTCTCTCTCTCTCTCTCTCTCTCTCTCTCTCTCTCTCTCTCGCACTTCCTCCGAGACACATGCAAGCTTCGGATAAAGCAAGCTTAATCGCTTCCCCCTAACACTAACCCCCCCTAATATAAAACCTCCCGGCCCCCGGAATTTCGCGATTTCGGGCCCCACATTCAATTTAAAAGGGACATCATTAGGGGGGTGGCAGATCTATGTGTTTTAATTGAACGAAGACTACAGTAGTACTAAAGACAGCAGAGCTTTAGGGTTTAAGGGTTTAGGGCTCAGGGCTAAAGCTTTAGGGCTCAGGGCTTTAGGGCTTAAAGTTTAGGGCTCAGGCCCACTCATACGTGGATGCACCGAACCGAAACCCCCCCTAATATAAAAACCAAACCTCCGAAATCCAGTTTTAATATTAGGGGGGGGAGTTTAATATTAGGGGGAAACGATTAATAAACGATCGGCTTAAAGGCTCGGCCAGAAAAGGAGGAAGACATGTGTGGCCAAACGTCAGCTGCACTTTGAACACGCTCAAGCCTGGTAGGTGTCCTGGCGGTACTTGGACTTCATGTAGAAGGTCTTGTAGTCCTCACGCGCAACATACTAAGCCAAGCCGGCCAGCATCCAGATGTACCAGAGTCACCGAAGCCCAAACTTAACAGCCCGCAAGAAGGGCTTCTACTAACATTGATCGGAACATTCAGAATGAGCATCCCGTCTGCGCATGGTCTCCGCCGCAAGTGCCCTACCTGCTGACTATACTCCGGCTAATATGAATGTAGGGTTTCGCAAACTTTAAACGACGAGCCTCAAGCAGTACACATCCTGGCAGCCTAAGACTTTGTAACATCTCGGAAGCATCAAAGCCCTGCCATTCATTCTGAACTCGAGCTTTCGCCGGCACTCGGCCGCGACGGCTATACGATGTTCGACCACTTGTCAAGTGATCTTCGTGGGAGCACGACATCTCTCTGCAAAACCAGCATCACGCTGCCTGGCATAGTTGAATGGTCCAATCATTCCTCAGCCCGCACTTAAACTAAATACTCGTTTCGGATCGGGAATCCTCCTTCTTGTCCGCGGTGTTCTCCATGCCGATAAGCCTTGTTTGTTCGGGCACCCATCGGAATGCTTTCTTTGAACTCCAAGCCGCCGGCCAAAACGGGTTCTTCATGGATGGGGGAATGGTGGTGGGGAGGATCGTCCGCCGCAGTGCATGCATTGGGCGATTGATCTTTACCGCTAGGCCTTTACCATCACCTTCATGTGACAATGCGTCACGTCATGACCACACACTCTATACGTTTGCTGGATTGCTGGCACCTTAGATGGTTGTGCCATGGTGGTGTTGCAACCAGCACGGCGCACGTGTATATATGTACACCCTATATACGTGACAGATGTATTTACGCAGTGTGCCCGCTTTTGTACTGCATGCTTACAGCCAGTATATGAGCGGAAAAGATGGACGGATGCAGCATTACCTCCAATGCAATAGCTTTGATTGCACCTTCGGCGGAATCCTTCTAATTCACCTTTCGGCTCATGTGTGTGTGGGGGGACAGTACAAGTCACCATGGTGAGGACAGCACTCGACGGCAGCAAACAGGGAGTCAACTGCGGTCACAACATTTCGGTGCACCACAGCAGCACGAACCATGGCGGAGGCATTCAATCTTAACAGCTCTATAACCTTGACCTGAAATGGTGCCCCGTACGACCGAGTGACTCATACGGGTCCGAGTTGATGCGGTCGGGAACTTCCACCTTGACTCTGACAATCACAGTGCAGGGCTTGGCATAGTCAGGTTAGTCCATGATCATCAGCCGAAGAACAGCATTGCTGGGTCAGCTGACTCGTGTCCTGACCCAGCGAACCCCCCCCCTCTCCTGCCTGCGGACCTATTCACAGGCCCTCCCCATGCTCCCTCAACTCCCTCCCCCGGCTCGTTTCGCCCCCCCGCCGCCTGCTGCCTCCCCTCCTGCCTCGATGGCTTCGGAATTGAAACGACCGGCAATTCTTCGGGCCGAGGCTGACGACGCAAAGTACATAAACCCCAGTGTGTAAGGGCAATCCACTCAGCCACTATGCCAAAGAAACAGAAGACTTAAGTTAAAGCCCTGGTGTTGCGAGGTTATTTGGGTGCTAGCTTTGGGATTTTAGGGGTGCTCTGGCCTATATAGGGTTCAAGGCACCTACCCTAACACTCTTGGAACGTAAAGCTCGCCTCCACCCCGAAGGCTTGAACCTGTCAGTTCAAAGATGCTGAAACTGAAACCTAAGACGCCAAAACTCGTGAACAAAAACCTTCACATGGCAAACAGCCAGTTCGATTGCAAACTTTCACTGTCCCGACGTATTCTTCCACTTTGTCTGCGCTCAGCCGCGTTGGGCTTTGAAGCCACGGCCTGCGCCCACGCAGCCTCACCTCGATTACTTGAACGCTCATGACTAGCCATCACCAGCTCTTGTAGGGCTCTCAGAAGTCTTTGTTGCACTGATCTTCGTCGATTCGGATAAGGCTTTAGGCTACAGGCGCAAGTAGGGCTGAATGAGGTTTGTGGGTGGTCATGCGCACGGATAAGTGAGACCCCAACCACCTCATCGCCCAATCTACCGTAAAGTGCATCATGCAGGGTTGGGTGTACATAATAGTGCACGCGCATGTGGCTAGAGTGTAGTCTAAACGGAAGCTTTTAACATAGTTTCGGCACCAGGGTTTAGCTCGACTCTCTGACTCTCTCTCTCTCTCTCTCTCTCTCTCTCTCCCCCTTTCCAATAGCTATGCAAGTGTAGACAGTATCCAAGCTTGCAGATGTTTCTTTGCCACGAGCCCGCTGTAGAAATTCAGCGGGCATTAAACGGCTCAAACTGCTAACCCCGGGCCTTCCCCAAACCTCCCCCTACCACCAGCCTGCAATCGGACACCCTGACCAGCCCCTCAACCCCATACCCTCCCTTTTTGCACAGACGTGTACATGCCCGCAAACCCTGAAGCATGCACCCACATCAGGTACGGCCCCCATACAGCAAGATTCTATCATAGGGCTACTATTAAGGTCCTACTATATCTATATTATAAATATTATTCAACTATTACTGAGTGGGGGCCGTACCCAATACCCACAGCTACTGGCGAGGAACTTCCCGTCACCGCCGTGGCCAAGGCGGTGAACATGGGAAGCGCCAGTCCTCGTCTTGAAATGTCCTGAGGCAATCAGTGTGCACGCATGTACTTATGTGCATTTGTAGCTCTATATACATACATATGTGCATGTGTGTATATATGTGTGTGTATATGTGTGTATATATATATATATATACATATATATATAAACATGCATGCATACATACATCGCTCTGCTAACGTATTATGTTGCTTTGTTTTGAACAAGTCATGGCAAGTACAAATCCTGTAGCAAGCTACTCAATCGTAGTGCATGCAATCTCGTACAAGTAACGTACTATTGGTTTGGGCTGAGTGTCATGCAACCCAAGTGCGGGTCATGGTTGCATGCAGACGAGATATTCTCGGGTTCAAGGGCGAATATAGATCCCACTCTCATAATGAAGACTAACACAAGGAAGGATCCGAACATATTTCAGCCCTGGAACAAGGGTGGACATTCATGAGGAGTGAAACAAGGATGACTAGAGTCGTAATGCAGACGAGTGAACAAGGTTGACCCATAAATCAAGTATAAACCATAAGACAGTAGGGTAGCAGTAACTGCTCAGGGCTCCTACATGTTACATTCGAGGAACCGAATCATCGACCGGACGGGGGTGGGGGGGCGGGCCTGACAAGAAAATCGCCAAAATATCAGAGGGCCTGATGCTTGTGGTTGACGGCCGTAGGATGAAGGAATTCTGTATTTCTCACACAACGGCATGTGATCACATGTATGGAGCTGCAAGAACTATTTCGTGAGAATGTTCCCCAGATCCGTCTCAAAGCTGCCTGCGGAGGCTGCACGAAGCCTGTCACCTGCAGGCGGTGGCACTCTACAACGCTGCCCAGCTTGCCAGCAGTATATCATGCGCAAGTCATGGATGAAAACTGTCAAACACTCATAATTCTGAATAC